TGTGGATTTTGCGCTCTATATAGAACCTAACCCTTCAAGGCCACCCACCACCAAAGATAAGAGAACGGCTAAGTTTCTCTATCTTCAACTACAATTATAATATCACCGACAATATTACCCATGTGATGTCCTTTCAGTCCTTCCTGTTTCTAATTCAGTATCACTCACCTCCAACGACACCATACTTCGTGCGTTTGTAAGTTTTCGTCGAACTTTCCCAATCTACATGGTCACCCGCCCAACCAACCTAATATAGGAACGTACGTAACGAGGTTCGAGATCTATATTTCTGCTCAACTTGGTATGTGTGAACTTGTACACCACCAAAACTCATAGCCCGTACGCTGGATAGAATACCAACCAAATTGAGTAAGATCTGTCCTTATTTCTGTTTGGTGATTATACCTGCTAGTCATACTGGCTTTCTGCACTCATTTATCTAAAACATCTTGGGTCCAACATCGTAGATTCAAAAGAAGACTTTCAAAGAAAATGACAAATCTGTATATTCAATTTATTGAATGTTCTCCTCAAATATACTTTGGGTACCCACTTAAATTCTCAATCTCTTATATGCTAAATATCTGTTTTGGTCTGTGAAGTGCCCCTCGATTATATTAGATACCATTCGCTATGAAATTGAAAGTTTTCTTTTGACCCAGCCTTAGTTAAATCGTGAAGCTGGATTTCGATGAATAAACAGCTCCCTCGGCTCGATAACTAATCCAAGTAGCAATAGAGATACAAAAACACAAGGCATCAAACTGGACAAATTTTTTTAAACAACCCAATGAATTCAATTTGAATAGTTCATTGTACGGGTTTGTTTCATCTCCAAACGTGATTAAACATCCTGTCGTTTTTTATGCAAACATGATAATAACATAACCAATCACATGAGAATCAGTTAATGAAAATATATTTGAACCATTTCGCATTCTGAGGCAGTCACAGTTCAATTTTGCCGACACAACATCAATCTAATTCAATTAAAATTCGAAGGAATTAAGTCTCACGTATCTGCTGATTTAATTGCTTGTTACTTGTTATGGTTGCAAATTAGATCACTGGACCGGTTATTACAATGCACCAGATGTATTCGGACAGGTTGTTTATTCCATCCATCATGAATTACTCTAGAACAATTGTCAAAACAAGCATTGCATGATGATAAAATTGAAAATTATTCGGAAAAGCTTTTCTTGTAAATTTATTGTTGCAGTAGATTCCGTTTGAACTGACAGCAATATTGAAAATGCATTTCCAAATTGTGACTGATAATTCAAACTGTTCAAAATACTGTTGATGAGTTTTGAGTCTATATTTCTATCTACAACCCAGGGTGGATTCATAATGAAAGAGATTATTTCTCTCTCTCTGTCTTAACACTATTGTTTTGAAGATGGAATGATTTTCTAGACTATTTTCGGATAAATGCTTTTGGAAAATAATTTTTACAAGAAAGGGTTTTTATTGTGAAATTGCTACCGACTCTATTTCACTCTGGAAATTCAGTTTTGAATGATAATTTGAAAATCTCCAGGAAATGTTGGCTCAACATTAACAATATCACAGCTTTTATTGACTAGCATAGAGAACATGGATATATTCATTCAAAAAAGTTTTTGAGCGATATGATAAATATAGTTAAACAGGACAGTGTCAACACTAGAAAGATGACGATGTACTAGATTCAGCATATTCAAGAAAAGTTTAAGATAGCAAAGCGGGATTTGCTAAACTCATGCCTGTGATAACAGATTCAAACATTTTGCATGCAAAAGCTATGAATTCGTGAGTTCCCTCTCTCTCTCTCTCTCTCTCTCTCTCTAGGTTATCTTGGCTTTTGCTTCCGTACGGCGTATTTAGCCAAATTCCTGAGTTGCTAAGTAAAACGCAAAAGTTACCAATACCAAAGTAATGAGTATATTGTTGAAGGTGAAGAAATCATCATCACTCCTTAATACTTCATGCAGTACAATCATTACTTGACATTAAATATCTTTACCATCTTTATTTACGAAGATAATGAATATTAACCATAATGGAAAGTGGCAAAGGTCGGAGAAACGCTCACTTGAAGAGTCCAACATCTCTTCCGATTGGGTCCTCAATGACGATGAATATGATTTCGTCTGGTTTGCTGGGGAGCAGTTTCCAGCATCAGTTGCTGGAAACTGAATTTAACAGAAATTATTGTGGAAAGTAAAGTATGTATCATGGAAATGTAATTGAAAAAATGAGGAGTAGAAAAAGTAACCTCATTATCAAAATTGTATTTTGTTACAGTACCTACAGTACTGGACAACAAAAATACCACCGACGACGATAACGATGATGATAATATGTAATTATAATGATAGAGCAGTGACGAAAATGATGACTAGAGATGATTCACTCTTCTGCCACACAATCATTGAATAAAAAAATATTCGTTGCACTTTTGAATAGATTCTTATTAGTTATATATCATATACACAAATACAAGTATGAATTTTGATCATTTTCCTCTGTATTCTTTATTGTCAGTCTACTTTATCGTTATCTCGCTCTAACAACTAACATATCACTGTGGTACCCTACAAAATCAAATTGATCAGACCTACGTATGTACAGGGTGTTTCAAATTCGATCCTCACCATTGGGATCTCGGAAACTATGAGAGATACGAAGATGGTTAAATTGGAGGAAAGCTGACTAACAATATTCCGTTGAGAAAGTTTTGAAATTTCGATTATATCCGGAGATATCCGGAAAAAACAGAAATTTCGGAAAATGGTTTTAATTTTTTTGTAGCTTTATTTTTTGAAGGATTCGAAAATACATTGCACTTTCACATTGCCACTTTTTCCCTACTACATAATGGTGTTTTCAGATCTGCTATTAGACGTTTCGTCTTCGTGTCACCACCATCAACTTTTTCTTTTTCAAGGGCGCTACATTGGGTTCTTTCTGTTGATATTAAAAAAAATCAATTCTTATCATAATAGGCTTTGAATTTGATGTTTCTAAATTCGACTTCCAATTTGTTACACTCAATGACATTTTATTATTTTACGAGTCATTGCATTTTTGGCGAAAAATGGTTTTCACGAATGAAAAAAAAGAGATATGATACAAATGTATTACAAATACGATAGAAACAGTGTTAGGACATTGGAAATGTATTTAAAACTGTATCCCGAAAGTCGATAACCACTTCGAACTATGTTGAAGTTATTGGATCAAAATCTCACCGAGTTTGGTTCGTTTGAAACGCCAATGAAAAAATACGGAGATAGAATCAACAATCAAAATTTGATGAATGAGGTGTGTATGAGGTAAATTAGACATTGTGTCCTTTTCAATGAAAATAGAACTTTGAACAAATAACAATAATTAACCAAAATGTAAAGACAAAAGTGAATCACAGCAATTGTTAAAAATGCTGGTCTTTTTCATGACAACACAACTGTGCCCTTCTTCGAATATTATTCACTGCATGGTTTATTTCCCTCCTCTTCAATTTTCTGAACCCTCTAACAATGCTGTGTTGAAGGTCCTCAATATTTTGATATTCTCTCTGACCATGAACTCTATTTTTCAGTGTACTCCATAAGAATATATCCATAACAATCAAGTCTGGAGACCTTGTTGGCCATCTCACCAGCCCATCATTCCCTATCCGTTTATCACCAAACCTTTCACTCAGGTAATTATATACTCGTCTGATAGTGTGCGGTGGAGCACAATCATGGTGAAACCAGATGTTGTTATAGTAAGCCAAAGGTAGATCACCCATATAGTCTTCGGGAGTCGACGTTAAAAAGTGGTGATAGGTTTCTCCATTCAGAATTTCGTTAAATAAATGAGGACCCAAACTTATATCCTGGTAAATTCCTGCCCGCATGTCGATACTAAATCGCACTTGAGATCGAATTTCTCGGAACTGCCTGGGATTGTTTATGCTCCCACAATTCGTTTTCAATGCTGAATATCCCACAATTCGTAAAAGTATTTTCATCTGTCCAAATTCAATTTTCCAGGAAAACAGAAAAATCGGGTATTCTTATTAGCCAATTACCAAATTCTAATCGCCTTTAAGGATTTTGTAACATTTTAAACCGCTTTTTTGAGATGTCTCCAAGCAACTGAATGACAGATATTCATTTTGGAGGAAATTTGACGTGTAGATTTCCACGGGTTCATGTTTATCTGCAAATTATTACTTTTTATTGAAAAGGACACAATGTCTAACTTACCTCATACATACCTCATAGGTACATAGGTACATAAAATGATATTAAAATCACAGACATACTAATATTCAGTATCTCATAATCTACGGTACCTCAACTCAAGGTATTTCACTAAATTCTACGTTTAATATAATTGAATATACTGATTGAGATTTTTTGATGACTAGTTTTTCATTATCAGAAAATAAAATGAAAAAAAATTCTTAATATGCACCAATCGTAGTGTATAAGCGTGTTTGATCAATCGAATTAGCGTCTTCAGAAGTTGAGTCACTTTGAGGTAGTTACAAGGGAGTTTTAAAAAATCAGCAGTTGAATATTGTATTTGCAAAGTATCAGTCATATGACGATTTTTTTGAATCTAAAATAATTTGAATGAATAAATCGAGATTTCTAACAATATATTGAATTCTCCATCTTCTTCCAAATAAATTAAAATATCGTTTCCGATAAGCTGCAACATGAAATATCTTTGAGGATTTTTGTTGGAAGTAATTGTTCAAACTTTAATATCAATTGTTATTCCAATAATTTGTTTTATGATGAATAATCAATTAGTAATTGACTCTATTGAAAATAAATATTCAAAAAGTAATATTTCATGTTCATTTTGTGAATTATTTTGGTAGTGAAAAAAAAACTTTTTTTCACGGTGAAATTTTTTTTTCATCTTGACATTAAGATCTGATATCTGATCTAAAGATATATGGTGTAGCTGATTAGCAATAATGACATTCAGTGTCACTTGAATAAAACGACATATTATTTGAAACATATTTATTAATAGGAACGCGCTACCACCACTATTTACAAAAAATTTACAGGTAGCACTTAATTATAAATACCAAGTATAATAAATTCATTTGGACAAAATTATTTACATATCAATGACGAATAGGCCATCAGAAACAACATCACTATAGAGGAAAGTAACAAATCAAAACAAATATGGTTACAAATGTCCATGTGAGATTTCATCTTGGTGAGTTCATTTTTTGAGTGGATATATAGATACAGTTTACTCTGAGTCGACATCAATGATGTGTGCTGTCCTGAATCATAACAAAGTCTAACCATGTTCAGAACTAACTATGACATGAATTAGAATTGAAGCGAATGTATTTCTATGTCGAAATAAGTGTTTTTTTCGAACGATTATGGATTTTCAATACATGATATTTCGTATTCTGAATTACAGTTATTCAAAAAATTTATTTCCCACACAAAAAATAAATATTTTGAGAAAGCTATTGAAACTGACAAGTTTCTGTTCCGAATCAATGAACGGGACATTTTCCAGCACCTGGAAACGTTATTCCTGTCTCCATTATCAAAGGAGGCAACATCAAACAACATTCTTTCGCTTCTCCATTCAACCAGCGTTACCTCTTTCAGTGTCATTCATGAATATTGGGCAAAATCCATACAAACAGAAAGAATTGGAAATAGGCAATGGAATCAATAGTGACGACTAGGAATTAGGTGGATTGATGTCGTAGTTTCAAGCTATGAGCAGAATTAAATTTCTAGAACTTCAGTTATAATATGAAGATGTCTTTTCTTCACATCGATGGATATGATACTGATGGTGAATTTTTATTATTTTATTCGAACAGTCAGCCATATTGATATTTTCGGAAAAAATAGTAAATATGTATTGCAGATTGCATACAGATAGCATGAAATACGCCTTCTCATTATTAATGAATGTTTTCGAATATATTGAAATTGAGACTGAATCAAAACTTCGATTGTTATAAGTTCTAACAGAAAACGGATTCTATATCTGACTAGAATGTTTCTACTTGATTCTTTGAGTCTATTGTTATGTTAGGTACCATGCACTGGAAAATGTCCACATTTCTTGGACTTGGACGCGAGATTACCCAGCCCAAGTATGAAGTAAGTCATATTCAGAGAACATATACAGAACAGTGTATCAAAGACAGAAAAAATACGTCACAAGATTTTCTCTGAAAACGATTTGCATTTTTCAATCGAATAAAATGAAACCATGAACAGAGAATGTTCTTCATTAGTTAATATAACTAGAAAATCAGATCTGGCAGTACTATTGGTCATATATACCTATACCAAGAGAATTTCAATTGTTGTGCTTCAAGATATCAGTGATCGCTTAATTTATTATCAAATGACGTACTAATTGTATTTGTAATCTCATTGGTAGCGTCATCTATCAATAACTGGTATTATGTCAATAATTATTTGAGAACTTTATAAATTTTCAGTCTATATCATCCATGATGATACAAACTGATACATCATGGATGATACGAATTAGACTTTTAGCATGCCACAGAGTTCAAAACTCAGAATCTGCTTTAAATTCACAAATTTTCGTGCTTGGTTCTACCGTAAAATTCTCAATGTCCTAGAAAATATCGAAGAAATTGTTGAAAAATCGATAAATTGAATGGAATCCAGTAGATTAGTGAATGTCTTATCCCTACGTCAGTTTATAAGTAATACTTCTTTCGTCAGATAGATTTTGTAATGAAAGTCGTCCACAATCACAGTCATCGTCAATAAATACTACGCTTTTAGCTTCTTTTATCTAAGTGGTTTGGCTGAAACTCTTTCTCACGAACAGTCTAATGACGATGGACTACCTGGTGGCATGATGAATGGAGGACTGTGGGGATTCATTGATATTGTGCTACCCATTGAGGCCGGACCATGAGGGTAGAGATCCATATCGCTCATACTTTCAGATCCGGAGCATTTTTCACCAGCTTTCCCTTCCTGTTTCAACATCATTCGTCTCCATTTAGCTCTGGCGTTTTGAAACCAAACCTGTAACAAAAATTTATTTGAGTTTTCCTGAGAATTGCATCGGTGTTTGTTAATATTTTGAATTTCATTTATATTTATTTCATAAGGGAAGCTCGACATTAAAAGTAATGATCTTTCTAACTAGTGTCACAATGGTGAATATTTGCTAGATGCATGGATAAGGCTAATACATAGTTTGACCATGAAGTAAAACCTATGTCAGAGCTGAATAAACAATATTAATCAGAATTTCCAGGTATGTTAATTATTCATGATGATAATTACAAATTTTTAATATGGCTTCTTTGTTACCAATATGCTTTTCACTAGGTAGTAAGTAGCATTGCTAGTTGACACTACTTTACAATTCATTCAAATCATGGACATTAAATAATACAGAATACTAATTGGTAAACAGGTAGCCACCAGGTATACAAACCAGGTAAACTATTGTTACTAATAATTCAACTAATTCTAGTAATTTTTTCAACAAATGGATTTGACTGTGGTGGGACATAAGATTCTTGTTGGTCGTCCAGTAAAAAATGTGGTCGTTTAATAATTGCCAGAGATTCCAGGAGGTTCTATTTTTGTCCTTTATTTTCTGTATGTAGTACGTCGTAGTTCATGTCGAAGCCGTGGTTGTTTTTCAACAGATGGCAGTAAAAGGTTGCATTGATAATAATAATAAAAATGAATCTTTGTTTTCCGTTGATAGTTACATTTATGGGAATTGTCAAGTCTAATGCTAAAGGTTATTGAAAGTATAATAAAGGAAATAAAATATGAATATGAGAAAGGACAGTCTCATACATTAATTTTCAATTGAAGATTCGGAAAGCGATTAAAAACATTTCTCCAATTAAAATGTTTCGAGTCTTTCTTGAAATGTCTCAAGTTTTTATGTTGTTTTATACCTGTGAGTTTGTAGAAAAATTCGTGACCTTATGAAGCAAAATATGCAGTATTAACTTTCGCTAATGAAATATACATGGATTGTTCACTTCAAGTATAATAAACATTAATATCTTCATTTAATTCGAAGAAACGAACTATTTTCAAAAATATGAACAGCTATATTAAAAATGTTCTTATACAATTGTTATTAAACGTGACCTTTTTAGTGGTTGTCAAGAGTATTAAAAGATGATGTTTACAAAGTAGCGTGTTAAAAATACTTTTAACACTAGTGTTGAAATTATTTTTAACACGACTTTTTTCGACCAAATAGCAATGAACGAAACATAATTATTCAATTTTCAAGGAAGTTTTATTATGAACAATAGATATAGAAACAATTAAATTCTGTTACAAATGTATTATGTACATTAAACACAAGCAAAAACTTTAAATAAAACGCGTGAGCTGTAAACAATACTGTTTGTTGATAACCAGGTAATTCGGCGTCACCTGACACGGCAACTTCACGGCAAATACGATAACATGAAAATAGTTAGCTGACAAGAGATGTCAAAATGTGTTTTTATAGAAATATTGAATTCATCTATTTTATTAAAATTGAGTTTTATTTAGTTCGTGAGATTGCTCAACTCGCTAGGCTAATTTGGCAAACTTTTTCACTCATAAAATAAAACCTTACCTTCAAACACTCATATCATAAATAGCTAGGTATTATACATGGAAGGGGTTAAATTCGATACACTTTGAAAATAGGTTTACATGAGTCCCTAAATGGAATTTGTACCAAAGTACGCAATACATATATGTTTTTGACTAATGAAAACACACGATGCTAAGATAGAATTTGCCCAGAGACATACCATACCTGATCCTTGAATCAATTTGGGTATAGTAAATTGCCAGTAACTGTGCCTTATTGTGAAAATCTCGAATATTTAAAAAAAATCAGGGAATTCAATTTACTCATAAGTTTATAACAGTGGATTTTCCAACTCGAGAATTTATCTCCAAGAAATTCGACAGATTCTTCAGTGTTTGTCAAATTGTCTGATTTACTTTAAAATCTAGATTTTTGATTGCCTTCTGACGATTGTGGAAACGTACTACCTCTGTTTATCCGTATTGAAAGATGAAGAACGTTCATTGCAAAAAGTTCATATTTATTCTTCACATCACTACATTTAGCATTTAGTAAATTAGTTTCAGATGAGGACAACACCAATGAAAATTCATCTGCGTAGGCAGAGTGATAACAACTTTTTAAAATGATATCAATCTGATTGATGTACAAAATAAGCAATACTGGTTCCAACACGGACCCTTGTGGAACACCCATATCAACTTCCTTACATTCAGATTTTCATTGTATTTTGTATAAATAGAGTTTATTTCTATAGATACATAATGTTTCCTGTCCGTCAGAAATGGTTCAACCCATTTCAGTCGGAAACCTCTGAAACCATATAATTTAAAAAAAATTTAATAGTTTTTCATGGTTTGTATAGTCAAACGCTCGGCTTACGTTCTGCTGGACGTTCATCAGTAGCAATATGTTCGATTATTCGGTTGAAAAAATAATAAATAAAATCTTATGTTTCTCAATGAAACTACAAATACGGTCGAGAAGAGCATATTCAAATAACTTTGAAAATACAGATGGTATTGTTATCGTTCTGTTATTTTCTAATAATTTATAATCACTTTTGTTGTATATCAGTATAACTTTTCCAATTTTAATAGCATTTGGAAATGAACCTGTTTCGAAAGATGAATTCACCAGATGAGTTACTGAAGAAATAATATCCTCAAGAATATCCTCCAAAAGAAATCCTGGGATCCCATCTGATCCGGCAGAATTTTTATTTTTTATTCTTCTCTTTGAAAGTAAAATATGTTCCTTTTCTGAAACCGGTTTCAACAACATGAAATCATTGTAACGCTTGAGATGAATAATTTTAGGAGTATTGTTCGATAGATCAACATGAGTTTTGATGAAGAATTGGTTGAAGACAGAAGCTATTTCAGATGCATCTTCAGAATGTCATCTTCGTTTCGTTCAGGATTGGAGTCCAGCTCCCCTACCCTTTCGACTGATTGTTGGTCTCAAGAAGGACCAATGGGTTCATGACTGATGGTATGACGGCATGAAGTCCTTAGACATCAGTGCCGCCCTTCACGGGATACCCCTACCTGGCTGGGGTGGGATGGATGAGAAAGTTGTTCATCTGTTAACGGGGGACATGAGGGCCTCATTCGACAGAGTGTCGGGGCCTTCTATATCGGGAGGGGTCGTCTACAGCATATTCTGTGGCTTCCCTAACTAACGGGTTTTCATGAGTTTCCGTTCTTTCAAAAACTCTCTGATTCCTCGACTGGATGGACTGCCGAATGGAAGGCAGCTGCAAATCTCTGCGAATGGCTTCATTCCGCACGAACCAAGGAGCATTCACAATCATCCTGATTAACTTATTTTGCAACCTTTCCAAAATGGAAATGTTGGACGAAGCCGCTTGTCCCTAGACGCCTGAAGCATACATGATGACAGGCTTGAACATCGTGTTATAGATGGTAATTTTATTTTTCGTGCTCATTTTAGATTTCTTGTTGATCAGAGGGTACAGACTACCTATCCGACCCTCGATCTTCGACTTAACGCACATGATGTGCGGGTTCTAAGTGAGCCTACGGTCTATTAGAAGGCCGAGGTACTTCACCCGCTCTTGCCATTCAATCTCCCTTCCAGAGATTCTCACTTTTCTGGCCGGAGAAGGTAGTAATCTTGCCATGGTTATCGCCTGAGTCTTTTCCGGGTTTACTCGGATCTTCCAATCGAGGTACCAGCGCTCGAGGTCGTCCAATGCACGTTGCATGTAGACGACGCCGAGCTCTCGACCCATGGAAGATGAGAGAAGAGCCGTGTCATCGGCGTACAGGGATATCTTCACTCACTCGGATTTAGGCAGGTCGCTGGTATAGATTGAATACAGCGTCGGAGAGAGCACGGACCCCTGTGGCACTCCAGCGAGGATCTCTCTGTTATCAGACCGAGAGCCCTCAACTCTGATCTGAAAAGTTCTGTCTTTCAGGAAAGACCCGATCCACCGGATCAGGCCTCGAGGTAGGTCAAACGCGTTTAGCTTGTGCAGAAGGCCTTCGTGCCATACTCGGTCGAAGGCCTTCGAGATATCTAGCAACACTATGTGCACTTTCTTGTTTGTGTTAAGCTCGCTGATGGTGTTTTCGACCAACCTTAGAGCCTGTAGTTCAGTGGAGTGATCTCTCCTGAAGCCGAATTGTTCGTTAGGCAGAACGTTTCGGTCCTCAACTTCTTCGTTGAGTCTTTGCAGAACGACTCTTTCAGCCAGATTAGCCGCCGAGTAGTAGAGAGTAGAATGATCGGGCGATAATTCTGCGGGAATAGCTGGTTCTGACCCTGTTTTGGGAGCATGACGACGATCGCATGCTTCCACCTTCTAGGGAAGTGTCTGAGGGCCAACGAACTGTTGATTAAGTTCAGAAGGAATTCAACACAATTTTCCGGGAGTCTCTTCAACAACTTGTTGGTTATTGAGTCGACCTCCGGAACCTTCTTGGCCTGTGCAGTCTTGATATAACCCTTCAGTTCTTCCATAGAAGCCGGACGGATATCGTAGTCGTCATCTTCCCTGAGGAGTCGGTGAACCCGGTCTTCCAGCAGCATATCGCGATCGATGTCGTCATCGTCGTCAACGTTAAGTTGAAACTGACGTTCCATCGTGTCTGCAAAGGCTAACGCCTTGTCGGCGGGGGAGTAGCACACTCCGCGCTCTCCGTGAATGGGTGAGAGAGCAGTCTTCTTCCCCCTGAGCCTACGAAGATGCATCTTCTGTCAATTCTCCGTTATTATTGATTACTATATTATAGTCAGTTTTCTTATAATTGTTGTTACAATAATTCTGAAATAATTGTCTAAGATGTAGGCATAATATATGATGAGTTGAATATATTATTTATAGCTTTTTTCACTTTGTAGAGGTGAATGTTTACGTTTAGATCATTGCATATATCTGCAAAATCAGGATATGTTTTTTTAGTATGAAAAGTTCCTTCAAGTTGAAACT